ATTTCTATTCTTCTATGTACATCACAAACTTATAAAAACCTCATCAAAATTCATCATATTTGATAATTAATTCAAATCCTGTTTTAGAACCTTTAATCGCGTTTGTATTTGCGATTAGAGAATCCCAATTTGACCCATTGACCTGATAACCTAACCATGTTAATGAACTAATAAAGGGACGTCGAAATTTACGATAAAAAACAAAAAAAAACTAAAGAGTAACAGACTAACGATAAAACAGAGGCAAAACTGCTCTCCATTGTAATGCAAAGAAGAAATAAATCATTAAGTAAAATAATATATCAGTTCATTTACGTTAATCGATATTATTGTCTACAAGGAAATGAATAGAATACCATAATCTATAAGGAACAACAAAGTACAAGCAAACAATTAATCTAGATTATAGACTAATCAACAAAAAAATATGCGTTAATATAAAAAAAAATACATAATAGCACTCCAAAAATTAAATGAATATTAACTCTAAAAGTATTTACGTCACGAAAGTAGAGGATGAATCCAGTTAAACACTTATTAGATATAACCCTTATTTCACTAGAAAGTTGTATAACCTATTAACCTCCCAATGTTCCTTATTTTTGTGATCGATCAAATTGATCTTGTTTTCTTACTTAAATAACAAATGCTAGACTCAACCGTGCACCAATATCTCTTGTTTATTAAAAGAGAAGTTTATTTTGAATATAGAGCAGATCAAAATTAAAAATTAACCCGAAATTAAATATTTAGATATTTCAAAATCGGATATTTAATTGTGTTTGGATATAGATCGAATACTTTTATAGCGTATTATATTATTTTCATATCAATTTTTGGTCGATGGTACATACAAAGTCTTATTAACAATTTACACTATTTGAATATTGATTAAATCAAATTCAATACGAATAAGTTTTATCGGTAAACTATATTATGTACTAAACTATGTAAGTTAGGAGTAGTTTTAGTTTGTTAAACTCATAATTATATAGTAAAGCCAGTTTTGAATAATATTTTTCTAAATGCAATCCAATTCGCGTTAGTCTGTCAAAACATATATTGTGAGTATGTAATTTTATATATGCAAATGTTGTACAATGTTTACGTATATTCCTAATTCTACTACCAATATTGTTAGATTAACTTATATATCAATACTATTATATAAAAATAAGTTAATGAGTTTATGACCAACTAACAAAGGTTGAGAAATTACATTAAAAACAATTGATATAATCACAAAAATATAAATTAAATTAAACAATCTTTAGATACTACATTTGAATTATTCAGCTTTGGTTCACTTTCCTTTGTTTGGTTTGTGTTTTGCCTTACCGTCTCACTTTCTCTCCTTTCAGAAAATTCTTGATCCAGTCACTGCTTAGTCAAGGAAACGACCACATCAACAAAGTCTTGGTTGAAAACATGGTTTGCCGGTTCACACAGATGTCCTTCAACATCAACTCTTAAGAGTATCGGATCCAGAGCAATTTCAGCGATCTTTCCCCTGAAACCGAAGAAATCCCCCATGATTAAGCGACGAGAAGAGAAAATTTCGACTGAGAGAACTCTTAAGAGTATGAGAACTATGTCACAGGGAAAGCGAGCGTTAAAAGGAGAATGTTTCAGGGGAAGAAGAACTTAACGCACAAGTTACTGTTATTATATATATACAGTGTGATGAACACCGACGTTGATCTGCGCGGGAAATGTCTAACATCGCTTGATGACCGTTTGATGAAGGTCAATGGACGGTTGAGGAAGCAAGACGTTTCATGATCCGTGGCAAATGCTTGGATCACTTAATCACCGTTCGATGATGAGTGATCGACGGTTGAGGGAGTGAGATGAAGTTGGTTCTCTAAAATTTGTCGATGAACTCCGACGCCGATCCGCGAGACGCCTAGATCGCCGTTGGATTAAGATTAATCGAAGGTTCTGATCTGGAGTTCGACCATCGGATTGCTTTAATTTGCTGTTGAGAGAGCGAGAGGTTTCGTCGAAGCAAATGTGTTTTGAAGGATTTTGAAACAGACAAGTATCGACGGAGAGAGAGAGCAACTCCGTCGCTCTGTTTATTTTGTTTGTAAAAGAAATCTCGTTTCCTTTTTCCTTTCACAATAATCTTTTATTCTTATTTTATTATAGGCTAATATAAATAAAAGCCCTACAACTTCGATTTTACAAAGTATAAGCCCACCATGAGCCCAAAAGTTTGATTATCTAAATATCCGGAATTAGAAATTTATTCTCTGTTACATATATCGAATCAATGGTTCGATGTAATAGATTCAGGAATTTTTGGTTAAATATGCGTGATTTACTGAATAAACTTTATAAAGTGATTTATAACCCCTACAAAAAGGCATACAATTAATAATTTTGAGTTTTTAAAAGGCATTTATTAAGTTTTTTTTAATAATTTTGAGTTCTTACAATTAATAATAGGGTCGGAAGGAATTGCCCATGATAGATTATCTTTGTAACAATTCTCATAATTTGCAATAATTAATAAATCTAAAAACGATAAAAAGGCATTCCCTTTATTTTATATATTTTCTAATTTCTCTAAAATGTAACAAAAGTGAATTATTTATTTACATAATATATATTGGAATTTGGAAATAATAATATGATAACGGAAAGAAAAATGTTCGATTTATTTGTCATCATTTTCATAAGAATATTGGTCATCATTTTCTAAATAATTTTGAATACTGTACAACCCTAATTTGAATTCTATTCTTAAAAAATACTCATTTTTAATAAAAAAAATTACAATCGTTTATAACTTTATATGTTAAATGAAAATCCTGTACAGATCTTATATTTGAAACAATATATAAACTTAGTCAATAATTACTTGCTTAGTTCTACGTAGAGGATGAAACATGTATGGGTTTGTAATATAAACCAGCATTTTGAAAGGAATTAATACAGTATTCAAATTTATACATAAACTAATCATGAAAGGAATTGATAGTCTTTGTATACTAAACTAACCAAACACTAGCTTTCCCAACACATCGTGCAATATTTGGATCGGTTTCGACAGATCTAAGATTTGATGATCCCATATAATAATTCTAACCACATCTTCATCAAGACATCAACACAACACATATCAGAGACAACAACAAAAATATAAGAACAATCAAAACGAGAGAGTGAGAATATATCTAGCAATCAATACAATATACTTAGATATAACTGAGTGACAAGGGTTTTTATCAATATAGTCTCTAGGGATATATAAGAAGTTACGGTCAAACAAGAAAAACCCTAAAGGAGAACATAAAGATGAGAAAATAATAACACAAATCAATTGATATCAGAATCGTCAAAATCATCCTCAAAGCTGTTGAAAAACTTTGTGTCTTGAAGACCCCAAGGGAGGGGTTTGAGATCCATGGGCATGGGCCCGTAGTTGTCATCATCATCATCGACGTCCATGGGCATAGCTATCGAGGAACTTGCATATTCCATCTCAGCCAAAAAGTCACGGGTCGTCATCTGCGGCCTCATCATCGGCGGCCTCATCATCTCGCGTCGCCAAGCTCTATCCATTGCTTCGCTTCGTTTGCGTGAGAGAGAAAGATTTGTGTGTTTTAGTTTTATTTTTAGGGTTAGGGTACTATTATAAAGGCCCGGTAGGAGAGGGGATTGGGCCATCTGTTGAATTTTTTTTATATTGCTAAATTGCCTAAATATTTGTATTTTAATTTAAGGATTATACCAAAATTATATAGATACCAAATCTATACAAAAATATAAAGTATGAAATTTTACATATTCCTTACCAATGAAGAATTGATAAATTACTATAAAGTATATCAAATTGAAGAAATATATTGATTGTCATTCACTTTAGAGATATATACAAAATATATACTTTTAAGACATTAATTAACTAAAGATATATTTTCAGATAAAAAGATTTTTGAAAATTAATAAAAGATTATCTTCACATATGTCATTATTATTGCAAATAAGGCTTTATTTTGTAACAATGATATTTTGAGAATTTTCTATATTGATAAAAATCTATTCAATTATTAATTTATTTTCACATATATTTGATAAGAAGCATAATTTTTGTTTGGCTAAAATATTGAATTAGTCAAAGAAAAAAAAACTTGTTTACATCTCTTTTGGAGTAATTTTACTTTTTATCCTTTTGTAAAACATAGATAATTTTGGAGTAATTTTACTTTTTTATAAAAGAGCCATTGAAAGAGAGGAGGAGAAAGATGGATCCCTTGACAGATGATCTATGGGTTAATATACTTGCGAGGTTACCGATTAAGAGCATCAGGTCTTCCCAATTGGTTTGCAAGCAATGGAAATCAATAGTTGATTCTCCTTATTTCCGACAGCGTTTCCTGTCTCACCATCAGGATTGGTTCAAGAATTTATAGCTCACCACGGATGCTCATAAGCTGATCAATGATCAGAGCCCTAGCTAGCTTACACCGATATATTTGATTTATCTCTCACCTTAACTTATGTTCTTCTTAGGGTTTTTTCTCGTTTGACCTTAACTAGAGACTATATATTGTCTTTTTGTTTTGCTTTTGCTGTTTTGTAGCAATCATATATATCTTTGCTGGTACCATGCCTTGATTTGTGAGTTTTTTTAGATATATAGTGTATCTAGTATATTTTATAAATGCATTGATATATCATAGCATAGAACATATGTCTTCATCGGCAACTTTTGAAGATGATAAAGTTAAGACATGTACATGCAACATATACCATAATCATATGATTTTCCACAAACGTTTTTAAACAGAGAAAACAAACATTAGCGAGACAAGTATTGCCACAATTCGGAATAATGGAATGAAACAAAAAAGGATACACGTAACACAAACATAGATCACTCAAAACTCAACACAAAAAGAAAAAAAAATATCCAAACAAGATAAGTATTTTCAAAAGCAAAACCCAACAATACTTGAGGGATATTAGAGTTATAAAAAAAAGCTTTAAAATCAAACAGCTGGAGATCCAGGTACTCTAGGAAGCTGAATGGAGTCGTCATCATTATCATGGTAAATATAAGCAAAACCACCGTGACGTGCTATATCCATTCCTTGCATCTCATCAGTCTCTGAGATCCTAAGCAAATCGAGCTTTTTAAGGATAAAGAAGAGTGTTCCCATTGTGGCACTAACCCATCCAACAATCACAATGATTTGAACTAATTGTGCTGCCAATAGCTTCCCTCCTCCACCCATAAATAGCCCGTAGTGCCTTCCCTGGTTCGCTCCGTAAACCTCATTTACATACTTCTCCCTTGCAAAGAGTCCTACGAATATCAAACCCCAAGCACCACACCCTCCATGTAACTGTGCAGCCTCTAACGGATCATCGAATTTTAGGAGCTCAGCGAGCTTGTTGCACCCAATAAGGACGAGTGAAGCAACAAAGCCACAAACTATCGCTGCCCATGGGTCTACTACGGAGCAACCTGCGGTTATGGCCGCAAACCCACCGAGTAACCCGTTGCAAACGTCGGTTACATTCCAATGACCTGATATGAGACGTTTCCCAAAGAGTGTGGTTAGAGCTGCGGTGCATCCCGAGAGTGTAGTTGTAACTGCGGTGCGGCCAATGCCGCTCCATTGGCCATAGTTGGAACCAGAATGGTAAGGAATGAGTATCTTGGTAAAGGAACCAGGGTTGAACCCATACCAACCAAACCAGAGAAGGAAGGTCCCTAAGACCACGAGTGAGGCAGAGTGGCCGCGGAGAGCAATAGCATGACCACCATCAGGGAACCGACCAATCCTAGGGCCTTCGATAAGGGCACCCCATAATCCTGCAATACCACCAACCATGTGAACAACACCTGACCCGGCAAAGTCTATGGCACCAGTGCCAAACAAACGGTCAGCGGAACGGAAGGGACTAGCCCATCCATCCGGAGACCAAAACCAGTGAGACACGACCGGGTAAACAAACCCGGTCAAAAAAGAAGAATAGATCAAGTAGGCCACGAACTTAGTCCTCTCCGCAATGGAACCGCTTGTGATTCCCGCAGCCGCGATTGCAAACGCCCATTGGTAGAGGAAAAAGGAGTAATCCGAGGTGAGAGTCGGAAAGTCTTTGAGACCAAAGTTGTGTCTTCCAATGAATCCATCAGACGATTCCCCAAAGGCAAAAGCATAACCAAAGAGATAATAGAAGAGTCCACCGGCTGCAGCATCAAGGACATTGGTGAGCATGATGTTCATCGTATTCTTGGCTCTAACAGAGCCGGCACAGAGCATAGCGAAGCCGAGCTGCATCGCAAAGACGAGATAGGCAGAGAAGAGGAGGTACGTGTTGTCTATAGCGTAGGCTGCATCGGTAAACTTGTTGTTCACGGTACCCAATTGGCCACAAATATAGTCAGCTGCGGCCGTGGCATTAGGGCCAAGAAGGGCAGAGAGATCAGCCGCAGAGCAAGTTAAAGCTCCCGACATGTTGAGAGACCTGAGATCGAAAGAGAGACACGAACAAGAAAGATTGTGTCTTGTGTATCTATAAAAAGATTAAGAGGAGGAGTTGAGGGATGACTTTTGATTCTGGCTTGACCAATCAAGCAGGAGAGATTATTAATTATTTTAATTTAGTTAGAGATCGAATCTTACAAAACTACTTGATATATACGAGAATCTTATACGGTTTTGGTGATATTTAGTGATTGGCATGTAAACCTATACATTGATTGAATCAAACTCCAAATATGTTTATATATCCTTTTTTTTAATTATAGTATGTGATGATTTATTTTATTTTATTTTTAAAATTTTTTTTGGTAAAGATGAATTTATGTATTTATTATTTAATAAATTGATAGGAATATTTAGAATCATAAAGATGATTTTCTAGTTGTATTTAAGATTTGTTTTTTTTTTTTTAGGGTTTTTGGTAACAAACTCAATAATTTTCTGTAAACAAAGAAAAACGATTTCGATTCTTTGATCACACTTCATTTAGAAACCAAGCAAGTCAATTAATGGAATCAAATTTACTCAAAACATGAATGACATTAGAATATTGCAAAAGGTATTAAGAAAACATATATGATGATGTGTTCAAGTGTATAAGCATACGTTAGCAAAAACATTGACCAAGGAATCTACATCTAAGAAGATTCCCTTATAAAAGAGTTGGTCGTCGTTTCCGACTCACACTGTCACACCTCACACGAAAGGGAAGCTCATTCGTGCTTTGTCTTTAGAAGTAAAAGAAAACCCAATAAAAGATAATATACTTGTATATTTATAACTTTGTAAAAACAAATCAAACATTTGTATAAAGATTATACGGATACTAAAACATTAAAAAGACAAAAAAAAAAATACAAATATTATTGTGAAACGAAAACCAACATATATACATTATCAAGTAAACTGAAAAAATCCGAAATTCAGCATTGTTTATAGGAAAAGACTTAATTAGGAACTTAGGATGATCTTGTGAAGTAATAATAGAATTGCTGACGTAACCGCAAATGATAATAACATGGATTAGCGGCAACCACGTAATTATTAGTAGATATAATTGCACTTACGCCCTTAAATTCAGCAAATCGATGACGTTTTAGTGTAATGCCATTGGTAAACCTTATGATCGAATAAGAATAGTTATAGATAATATAATAACAATTAGAAGTAGTGTTCTGACTATATATGCCTATATGCAAAGTTGCAAACTCGATCACTTATAGGCTGTGATTGGCACACTTTGTGTAAACTACTATGAAAACAGAAGCTATACGATTTTGAATACACTATAATAAGATTTGAATCTCATGAAAATAGACAAATGCAAACTTTTAAAATCAATTTGTCGACGAACGATAAATTATGCACATATTAAAATAGCAACAGTAGCTTTTAAAAAAGCGTACAAAATAACATGACATCATGGATTACCACATAACACAAATTAATTATTTAGTAATACGCAGTTAATTACTGACTTATTATAGTGCATACTACTATATTTTAATTTAGGTCAACTGACAATTTAAACTTATATTAACTAAAACTGTTTACTAAATACGAAAAGCCATTGCGGCATCTCTAGCTATCATAATGCATATCAAACATAAAAAAAAAATACTATATACGTTATTGAAATTATTACTTATTATTTTATATATTATGTAGTAGTGATTGGTGTGTTTAAATTACAACCAAAAAGCATCATAAGAAAAAATATATACTGTATATAGAAAGATTATAGATAATCATGATTTTTGCATTAACATGTTTGCCAACAAAAATATAACTCAATATAATGGTTTACTTGCATTGCTAGGGGATCTTGAACCACTGAAATAAATAGATACCGCAGCTACCGTATAGTTTTTATTAATTTTAATTGACAGTCTCTATTTAAAATACTCCTTCAAAATTTGTTATCACGGTTTCGAAGCTCAGCATACAGAACATACATTTTTGTTTGTGTGTTTATAATATTACGGCAATAATATTTTAAAGGTTCGTACTTGTGTTTAATAATGGTTTCTTACAACGAGTCACTTAAATGTAATCAAAACTGTTAAACAGTGTTAATGAATGTTTCGCATGTCCTGTCTTTGTTTGGCTGACATATGCAAGATACTTTGACAAGATACTGCAATTATTAAAAACAGTTTGACAACTAATTTTTTTTATGTGGAAGGTAAAATCCAAAAAGAGCTAGTGGAATCAGACCGTAATTACATGATTCAGAATCATTTCAAGGTCTCTAAAACGAATATAAAATAAAGGATACTTGATTTGTGTATGTTTTAAATTAAATATTCCTTTAGGACGTCTGAATCTATATTAGTATTTTTATTATTTGTAAGTTGTAACGAGTAATAGCAACAATTGTTAGGAAATTAAATGCCCATTAGGCTTAATTCTAAACAAGTGACGACTTAGACATGTAATAATTCTCATATTATTTTGTCAACCTATTGGTAGTTTAATTTGGTTGGTAAAAATAACATCCAAAAAGAACATAGTTTAATTCTAAGCAAGTGTACCTAAACGTGACTAACTTAACAAAATGTTGAAAAAAATCGTTCACGTTACATATTGGATCTCACTTGGACTAACTTTATATTTGATAGAGAGTTTATTTTTTCTTACTGTTGCACTTAAGTTTGAACAGAGGCTAATTAAGAGAGCATAGTGTACTTACTGGAATCCTAATCACTAACATCCTCACAAATATAAGTATAATGAATAATATGTCTTCCTAACTCTTATAAACAACCAAATTTAGAAATTTTTTATTTTTTTCTCGAACAATGGAAAGTTCCATTGATTTATAAGAAAATATCACTAGAATATTCCAAACTGGAATAATCTACTTTGGAAGAATGATCAAAGTTGCTCTCGAAAGTGAAACTTTTGTTTAGTCTAATATAAAGCCGTTGAGGAAAAAATAAACCTAAGCAAAGCTGTATGTATATGCATAATGCAACAACATATAGCTACTAGTTTATAAGATATAGCATAAGTATTAGTCAAAGAATGCTGAATGCAAAAATCAAATTGAAAAAAAATGGAATGAAAACAAGACACATAAACACAGAAAGATCATATATAGATCACTCGAAACAAAACAAAACTATATATTCAAGATTTATATTTCATCAGAAAGCAAAATACACAACATGCAACAATACTTACCAATAGTAGATTACAAAAGGCTTAAAAATCAAACGCGAGGAGGAGTAGCTGAACGAGGGAAAGGAGATCCATGGTCTACTCTATGAGACTCGTCTTCATTGTCATGGTATATATAAGCAAAGCCACCATGACGCGTCATATCCATTCCTTGCATCTCATCCTTCTCCGAGATCCTAAGCAGATTGAGCTTTTTAAGGATGAAAAAGAGTGTTCCCATGGTGGCACTAACCCATCCTATGACCACAAGAATCTGCACCAGCTGTGCTCCCAGCAGCTTCCCACCTCCGCCCATGAATAGTCCGTACGGCCTTCCCGGGGTGGCGCCATAAACCTCGTTTAGATACTTCTCTTTAGCAAACAATCCTACAAATATCAAACCCCACGCGCCACACCCTCCATGTAGTTGGGCTGCCTCGAGGGGATCGTCATATTGTAGGAGCTCCGCGAGCTTGTTGCATCCTATAAGGACTAGAGAAGCCATGAAGCCGCAGACGATAGCTGCCCATGGTTCTACCACGGAGCAGCCTGCGGTTATGGCCGCAAACCCACCGAGTAAGCCGTTGCAAACATCGGTTACGTTCCAATGGCCTGATAGGAGACGTTTTCCAAAGAGTGTGGTTAGAGCTGCGGTGCATCCCGAGAGTGTGGTTGTAACCGCTGTGCGGCCTATTCCGCTCCATTGGCCGTAGTTGGAACCGGACTCATATGGAATGAGTATCTTGGTGAAGGAACCGGGGTTGAAACCATACCAACCGAACCATAGGAGGAAGGTTCCTAAGACTACAAGCGACGCGGAGTGGCCACGCAGAGCAATAGCACGTCCGCCTTTCTCGAACCGACCACGACGAGGACCTTCGATTAAAGCACCCCACAAACCTGCTACGCCACCAACCATGTGAACAACACCTGAGCCAGCAAAATCGATTGCTCCGGTACTAAACAAACGATCATCTGCTGGACGGAAGGGACTAGCCCATCCGTCCGGGGACCAGAACCAGTGAGAGACAACCGGATAAACAAATCCGGTTAAGAAAGATGAGTATATCAAGTAAGCCACAAACTGAGTCCTCTCCGCGATCGAACCACTTGTGATTCCAGCGGCCGCGATTGCGAACGCCCATTGGTAGAGAAAGAAAGAGTAGTCAGCTGTGAGAGTTGGGAAGTCTCTAAGAGCAAAGTTGTGTCTTCCGATGAATCCTTCCGAGGATCCTCCAAAGGCAAAGGCATAACCAAAAAGATAGTAAAAGAGTCCTCCGGCTGCAGCGTCAAGAACATTGGTAAGCATGATGTTCATGGTATTCTTGGCTCTAACAGAGCCAGCACAGAGCATAGCAAAGCCAAGCTGCATCGCAAAGACGAGATAGGCAGAGAAGAGGAGGTAAGTGTTGTCTATAGCGAAGGCTGCATCGGTAAACTTGTTGTTTACGGTACCCAACTGGCCGCAGATATAGTCAGCTGCGGCCGTGGCGTTGGGGCCGAGTAGGGCGGAGAGATCCGCCGCAGAGCAAGTTATAGCTCCCGACATGTTGAGAGATGTATGAGTCAAGAGAGAAAGAGAGAGACATGGAGAAGAAAGGCCGTCTCCTTGTGTGTCTCTTAAAAGGAGGAAGAGGGAGGTTAGGGTTGACTTTTGATTCCGGCTGGACCAATTAAATTTGTTGTATTTAAGTGTAGTATTAATTATTTAAATAGTTATGTGAGGTAATAACAACATTAATTATTGAATTACGATCCTAATGATCATAATTCATATACAGTTTTGGTGATTAAGTGATTGGCATGTAATCATGTGATTATAAAATTGCAAAGGAGTATATAATTTTATTACTAATGATATTATTAAAAGTCATGACAAAGGATTAAATCATACAATAATTCTCGAGATCAACCGTACCACATGTTTCTCTGACCATACTTCATCTAAAAACCAAGTTATATATATGTAATCAATTATAACCAAAGATAATTAGTTGACGTTAAAATGTTGCTTTAAGGAGATACGTATGGTCTGTCCAAGTGTAGTATATACGTTTGTAAAATATCGACCCAAAGAAGGAGCTAGTCTCCATCTTGCTTAATAGAAATTATAGAACTATAAAAGGCAAGTAGATTCTCGTAAACATCGAGTGGTAGATATAGTTTGATGCTATATTAGAGATTTAGAGTCATACATTGACTCACATGGAAGTATATTCTCGTACATATCGAGTGGTAGATAGAGTTTGATGCTATTAGAGTCATACACTGACTCACATGCATGGAAATGGAAACTCATTCTTGCTGCCCTTTAAAGAAATGTTTTACATTTAACATTTAACATTACATATATATGTTCCAGCAATAGCAAACCGATCAGTTCATTAGGTCAAGCAAGATTCAGCAATCTTTATACGATCTTGCTTATGATAATCTTGTAAAGTATTAAAAAAGTTTAAAACCGATAATAACATGGGGTTAGCGGGAACCACGTTTGAGTTGTTGAAAATTGCATTTGAGCCCTTAACTTGTAGATATGTCCAAAATTTATCAGATGCATTATTTCTTGCATCTGTACGATTCCTCATACGATCCTCCAAGACCACAAATCTGATATCTTAGACCTATTCTGCAAGTATTAGAAAAAAAAGAAGAAGATAAATGACATAGTTTAAGCAAGAGACAGTTTTATCCAATTGACATTTGAAACCATATCAACTATTTATGAATTCTTTAAAATCAAGAAAAAAAAAATGTTCATGTCTTGTTTTTTTTATAAATGAGAAGATACATTTATCTCAATTGATTTCAGGTGGTAAACCCTTTTAATATATATATTTTTTTTGATAAAAAAAAAATTGTTCCAAAGGCTGCTGTTTCACCAACATGGTATATATAGACTTTTTAGTTTTCATTATCAATAATTGGTTTTACAAATGAAAACTTTCTATTTATATATGTGTGTGTGTGTGTGAATTTAATCATTTTTGGGGTCAACCAAACTTAATTATTATAGGAGACACTTGCGAATTGTAATATACATATTTACTGATGAGTTGAAAATGAGAGTTGACACTCAGCAAAATAGACAAAGCAGACTTTTTTTTTTGGGTAAATTTGCATTATAGTACATTTTTGAAAGATAATTTGTTGTTTAATACATTTACTATTTATAATTTGCAAAATAGGTGGGTGTGTAATAAGGGGTGTGTGTAATAGAAATATTTGTGGGGTAAGAGGTTGTTGGGTGAAAAGACAAAAATGGGATTGTGTGTATGTGGTGTTTTCTGTACATATAATTAGTGTATAGTTTGATGTATTTGTACATATCTCATATTGTACAAATACGTGTAAAATGCAATATAATAGTATATATATATACAATTATATTTGTACATATATCATTGTATACAGTTGTTATACATACATTTTTCAGTACATATAATAAGTGTACAGTTTGATCTGTACAATTGTATTTGTACATATATCATATTGTACAAATACGTGTACAATCGTTTACTACTTGTACACTAATATCTGTACATTTATTAAGTTGTACATATCTAAAATTTATAAAAGTTATTTGTTATTATCAAATAAAATCTTCAAACAAAATGCATATCATATAATAGAGGAAAAAACATAGATTTTTATATATCTGAAATTTATAAAAATAAAAAATTTTATTGACTAGTATTTTAGTTTTTAGATTGAAGGGAGAATGTAATAAAAAAAGAAAAAAGAAAAAATTAAATACTAATTAAAAATCTGAGTGGAAAAAAAATAATAATTTAATTAAACATTAATGGCATTGTTGTAAATAAGATGTTTTGGTAAGGATTGACAAGTAAAAAAAATAAAACAGCATAGTAAAAATATGGATTTTGCTAATTATAAATATTAATTGTACTATTTTTACAATTATGTTTTGAAAACTGTCTATTTCTCCAATTATCTCTTTTTTTTTTTCTAATAACGAACGGTAGCTTTTAGAATCGTACAAAATAATCTCAAGAACTGTCGTGACATCATGGATTACCACATACCACATATTGATAATTTTATAGTACGTCGTAACTACTGATTACTTTGCGTATTGCATACTATTTTTTCTTTTTAAAAGTAAAATCGTTTACTAAATATATACAAAGAACCATCATATTAAGTGGTTTATAAAAGTTAGACTTTAGAAGACAAGTCTCTTGTGTAATTAAATTGGTAAGTCCATGGCTCGATATAAGGGCACGTTGAGACGTCTATATATAGCTCGATCTCATCTATATATGCTTATCAAAATTTACAATCTTAGTTTGTGGAATTATGTTTTTTTAATCCTTAGATGCTAGCTAGCAAAGCAACCAAAATTATCATAAGAAATTTTATGAATAATCAAGAATTTGAGGATGACATGTTTGCCAAAACTGATGAAGTCAAGATTGGTTGACTTTGCGTTGCTAGGGGACCTTAAACAACCATGCTGGATCATAATAAATAGTACCAATATTGAAATATATTATTTCCAGCTAATTCGTATACATATTGTAATGAATTAAGTTAAAATACTCCATAAAATTATTAATTCTTTGGTTTCGAAGTTCAACGGATCGACAAGAATAGTTTAAGGGTTTCATAGTTATTTCAATAATTTTTCTTACAACTACCACTTAATTAAATATATATCCAGAGTTCCAGACTATATATTGCACAGTATTATTGAAAGTTTCGCATTTGTTGTCTTTGTTTTGGTGACATATGAAAGATACGTTTAGTAAATTAAAATAAAAAATAAAAACAATCCATGATAACATGATGTGTGTACGTTAGGGGAAAAAAGTAAAGACTAATGAACTCGCATTAAATTAATATCGTGATTAGATTATTTTACAGTTATGCGAAATGAATATAACCCAAATGAGTAAAATGATTTGTGTTGGGTTTAGGAAAATTAACATAAAATGTAATCATTGAATTAGTGATATACAACAATAGGTGTTTTTCTTGTTTTTTTGATCAAAATATTTTGGAAGTCTATGCAAAGTATTTTAAAGCAACGATGGTCAGGCTAATATAGCCCATTCAGGCTTAATCCCTAGTATTAGTTTACTAGTGACCACTTATAGTTAATGACATGTGTCCATGTCTATTCTATATTTATTAGCCTACAATTTGGTTGTTTAAGAGCTAAGATAACAGTCTCGTGTACCTTACTTTACATATTGGAGAAATAACATTTCGATTAACTTCATGTCTGAGAGACGATTTGTTTGTCACCAATCATTATGGTTCGATTCTTGAATCTTGATTAGAAAAGTTGAATTATCATCGTTCTTAAAACCCTTGCAAAGTTCTTAACAAAGAGATATTATCAAGTGATGAGGTAATATGTTGAATCTAAGTATAAATTCTGAAGAAAAAAAAATTGAATTAAAATAGGAGATTCATTTTCTTCTCTAGTGAGTTCAGAAACTATACTTAGTGGAAGTCGAACTCATAACTTTTTTCTTGTCCTAAATATCGGATTCATATTTAACATCTACGGTTAATCGTATTAGTTTTAATATATTCTTTCTTCTTTTACGTCACCATTTTTATAAGATACATGATATTTTGCTATCCGGTAAAGCTTACTTCTATCAATATGCAAAATTAGCATTTTCGAAAAGATATTTGATCAACCACTGACTTATATTATAAGCTTCCAAAAGTGTTCATATACATTTAAACTATCTTTTTCATAATAAACGCTCTTTTTCACATTCTAAAGTCGACCTTTAATAGTCATTTGCATGATGATGATGACCCCAAGACTATTCAACTGACTATGTAGTTCAGTGTTTAACAAGAGCTAAGTACATATATATACAGGAATCCTAGTCACAAATATCTCACGAAAAAACAAGTCCTTAAACTATTCAAAGCAACCAAATTCAGGAAGCTCATTAGAATATTCCAAGTTGGAGTAATCTACTAAAATCTGTTAATCTCATCAAGAAGATATTTTAATTTTCACTAAAATAAGCAAGTACCAAAAAGTTTATTTGATCTATTGGAGTGAGTTGTGTAGTACATATCACTCGTTTAGCTTGGACCAGCTCAAATGAGCTACTTACATTTCACACACACAATTCATACCAAAACTACTTATGATAAACCAAAAATCTAAAATAGATGAAACCAAACTAAACTCAAACTCGACCTAACTTGTCGGTCAAGTTATTTTTTTGTATATCTTTCATTCTCCTGGAGATAAGATATTTAAAAGGTCAAGAAGCTAACAGAAGGGAATGACCATGTTCTGGAAACATTGCTTCCTTGGGGCACAAGCAGCACCACCAAAACTTCCTTGTCCTTCAAAATCTAGATTCCATAAACCTTCCCAAATAGTGGTATCTTCATTCACATTAGCCTCAGGTATTGTCACAGGAACCACCGGGTAATACCCATTAGTATTTGGGTCAGAACCAGAGCTTGTTGTTGAATATGTGATCTGATGAGGCACATAGAAAGCACCTCCTTCTCCACTGCTGCTGCCGCTACTGCTACTGCTGAAGGTGTTGTCACAATTGTTGTTGTTATCATCATCTAGTAAAGACATGATCTTTTTCATGTCGATTTGGTTGAACTGAAGCAACTGTTGTTCTTGCTGTAACTCCATTTGTCTTTGCTGCTGAAATTGTTGTCTCTTGAAGAGACGGTTCTTTGTCTTCTCCGCATTGTTAGTTGGAGACTTTGTCTTCTTCTTGAAATGGGTTCTCCAATAGTTCTTGATTTCGTTATCTGTTCTTCCAGGTAAGCTACGTGCAATCGTCGACCACCTACAAATACAAATCATCAGACCAAAAAAACATTACAAAAGGAAAAAAAAAAGATGAAGTTACTTATATGAGTAAAACTACACTATATCAACTTCAAAAGCTTAAAATTAGTTTGTACCTATTTCCCCACTTAGCATGTAACTCAAGGATGATGGTTTCTTCATGAGGAGTGATTTGTCCTCTCTTGAGGTCTGGTCTTAGGTAGTTAACCCATCTTAGCCTACAGCTTTTGCCATTTCTTTTCAACCCGGCAAGCCTCGCCACAGAGTTCCATCGGCCTTCGCCGTGAAGCCGCACATAATCGATCAAAAGGCGGTCTTCTTCAGCAGTCCAAGGCCCTTTTCTCCAACCTTCTTCCACCATTCCCCATCCTCCTCCCATCACTCCCCACAAACTCATTCTTTCTTCTTAGTTTTAGTGAAAGCTGAAATAGCGAAGTAGTGGTAGCTAGCTTTCTCCTTCTCTTACAGACCCACCAATCTCTTTTTGTCACTCTTGTCTTGTGAAACCTAAGTGTTCCTCTGTTTTGTCTTTGTGTTGTGTTGTGTTCTGTTTTTCATCTTCCCCTTTCATTATTTATATATGCACTCACTCTAGCTCCTTGGCTCCACCACCTTTTTGTTTGTTTGTTTTCTATAGAGTATAGACCAGTGACAAGACAAAGATCTTTTCACATATTTAGAGTTTGTGTTCCTTATTTTTAAATAATAATCATAATTATAATCTAACCACTACCTAAAAGACAATTCCGTGCAATTGATATACTTTTTCTCAAATTACAAAAATACATTTACAAGCACGTAACTAGTAATAAGAATGTTTATCTATTCAGCAAAATGTTATCTAAAGAAGAAAAGAATCAGAATTAGTGTAGACACAAAAGAATTATACAAGAACTTGGGTGCTCTCATCTCATTGCCCTTTTCACAGGTCCTTTTCATAAGTCTTTCGTATATATCCTTTCATCTGTTCATTCAACTCTTGATATGCAAAGGCATCATCGTACACAATATACTATTATTACTGACCCTATATGATTATTTCAACTCGAATTCCATTGAAAATATCTAAGAAAATATCATCAAATCTAAATGTTATAATTAGTCGCCTAAGCTAGTGATAATCATATATTCATATTCAACTTCATGCAGAAGAATAAAGAGGGTAATGTTAAGACATTAGGTAACATGGTGTAACGAGGCATCAAATCCAACAGAATAATATTTTTCTACTAAAGTTAAGTTATTTAGAACTTGTGTTTTATTGCCACGTATATGATTGATCTAAGGTAGGGATATTTATTAAGATTATTGTAATTATTTAACTTCCTTAATGAACATTTTTTCTTAAAAAGAATAATTAAAAGTAAAAGAGAACTTTGATGGTGCTAGATTATATTAAGGTTTATACACATAATTGAGCCACTAAGGTTTCTCCAAGTGTCGAGGAGATTGATACATGCGATCTTACACTAATCTTTGTTGTTGTCGTATAATATTCGTTGGATTCCACATAAGGAATTATGAGAATAAAGTATAGATGTAAACCAAATAATTATGAAAGAGTTTTATGGTTTTTGTATGTCACCATGGGACAGGTGGTCCTATAATTCTTCTTCTCTTAGATATTTTGTAAGATTGTAATTAACTTTGATACGACAAAAACATAGTAGTTAATTAGCACTACACAAAATATTAGTTAGAATAATTTTCTAGAACTAGGGTCAGGTTTATGGTGTTTCATGCCAACCGTGACCAGACTGACCGATCCACTTGCTAGTCAAAGATTATAGATCTTTCGTTATTTACATATAGATACCAATTAAATAAATTTTATTCACCATTACTTGATCAATATAATCAGTAAATTTTTACGAGAGAATAATTGAGACACTTCGAAGATTATTAGCTAGGACAACAGCAAAAGAGGTAAACCGAAACTTAAGTTAAGGGGCCAACGATCTAGAATACACACATGTTCGTTCGTGTGTCTTTCCAAAGACATTCCGATGTTTAAGTTGTAAATGAGAATGAGATCACCTGATTGATCTGAAGAGTCCAACAAAATACAAAGAGAACACTAAGGGAAGAGTGATGACAATGATGTAAATTAATAATGAAGTGTTGTGAATTTTGGAAAAAAAACCCTCGAGAGATCTTGTGATAACGTAACAATAATATAAAAATACTCCATAGTATAGAGACTCTCTTTATTTGAAGGGTTTGTGGATTTTTATATTTTTAAAAAGTGTTTTATTTGTTGGATAATTCCAAGTGACTTGGGGAGCAAGTCAAAGGATTCACAAACATGATCTAGATAAGGGCAAGTTATTTAGATAAGGTTTTGTGTTGTTTTCCTAATCTAATTAGGACTAAGGTGTTGTCTTGGTTCTATAAATACTAAGCTTGTGAAGAGATGTTTCACAAGACTTGAGAGAGATTTAGTTTTTGAGTAGTTTTCTAAATCAATAAGAAAGGTTGTTCTTATATTTCTCAAGCACATATAAACCTAGATTTGGTATCAGAGCAAGGTTCTCTTTTGATCAAGAAGGAGACTTGATCACAAAGCTTTGTCACCAAGATGGGAGACAACAATCCGCAACCACGCACCAAGGACCTTAGCTCACCATCGATTCATTGTCCAATGTTAACGGCAACGAACTACACGGTTTGGGCAATGAGGATGAAGGTGTTACTTCGAGTCAGCGAAGTATGGGAAACAATAGAACCCGGTTCTGAGGACGTTAAGAAGAACGATGTGGCAACCGCTCTATTGTTTCAATCAATTCCTGAGACTTTGATCTTACATATTGGAGATCAAAACTCGGCAAAGAACATGTGGGAAGCTGTTAAGTCTCGTCACCAAGGAGCAGACCGTGTGAAAGACGCAAGGCTCCAGACTCTCAAGGCAGAACTCGATCGACTTCATATGGGAGATGCTGAATCGGTAGACGAGTTTGCAGGGAAGATGTCAGGCCTTGCAGCTCAATCCGCTTCACTAGGAGAAACCCTTGATGAAGTAAAGCTAGTGAAACAGTTTTTAGCAGGACTTCCGGAGAGGTTCATTCACATTATCGCTTCCCTTGAGCAAGTTCTTGACTTAAACACAACAAGCTTTGAAGATATCATGGGAAGAATCAAAGCTTATGAAGATCGAGTTACAAAGGCGACCAGAAGTAGTGACGATCAAGGTAAACTGATGTTTACAAACACATCTAACAATCGTGGAGGCCATGGTGGGTCTCGCGGAGGATCTAGAGGTAGAGGAAGAGGTGGAAGAGGCGGTAGAGGCAGTGGTCGAGGGAGATCTAATGGCCAAAACCAAAACCAAGGAGAAGAAACCACAGAGAATCCAAAACCTAAGAAAGATCTATCCAAAATAATTTGTTGGAGATGTGATAAACCGGGACATTATGCAAACAATTGTCCCAACAAACAAACGCAACATCAACAAGCCAACTTAAACGAGACACATGAGGCCGATGCTCTCTACGTTCATGAGGTGGTGTTCTTAAACGAAGACAAAGTGATTCCAAAGAATTTTGATATCAACAAAGGTGATGCAAGTGTTTGGTATTTGGATAACGGAGCAAGTAACCACATGTCGGGGAACAAGAGCTACTTTTGTAGTTTAGATGAGAGAGTTAAAGGGAAAGTAAGATTTGGTGATGGCTCTTATGTTGACATTGTTGGGAAGGGTACAATTAACTTTGTGTGCAAGACAGGTGAGGTGAGAGCACTCAAAGAAATTTACTATATTCCCAGCCTAAAACACAACATATTGAGTCTTGGACAAGCAACTGAAGCCGGGTGTGAAGTTCTCATGCGAGGAGACTTCTTGACATTAAAAGACCCGTGTGGAAGGCTGCTTGTAAGAATCACAAGATCACCAAATCGTCTCTATAAAACACCCATGGAAATTAGTAATTCTCCTATGTGTTTACAACTCGATGGTGATGAAACTACATGGAGATGGCATGCTCGGCTGGGACATGTGAGCTTTGGTGTTATGAATAACATGGTGCAAAAGGAGATGGTTGTGGGAATGCCGAAAGTGATACATGAGAAGGATGTATGCGAGGTGTGCTTAGCCGGGAAACAAACAAGAAGCTCTTTCCCGACTAAAACCAGTTTTCGTGCATCACAAGCATTGGAGTTGATCCATGGAGATTTGTGTGGTCCGATTTCACCACCAACACCAGCTAACAATCGTTATGTTTTTGTCTTGATTGATGATTTCTCTAGGTACATGTGGACGATGTTACTACGAGAAAAGAGTGAAGCGTTTGATCGATTTAAACGTTTTAAAGGTGTTGTTGAAAAACAAACTGGTTTGGCCATCAAGACGTTTCGAACCGATAGGGGGGGAGAGTTTACCTCGGCTGAGTTCAATCGGTTTTGTGAAGAGAATGGAGTCAAACGTCACTTAACCGCACCATACACGCCACAGCAAAATGGTGTGGTTGAAAGAAGAAACCGTACCTTGATGGAGATGACAAGAAGCTTGATGAAGGCGATGAAGGTTCCGAATGATATGTGGGGAGAAGCTGTACGTCATTCAACCTATCTCATCAACCGTGTGCCCACAAAAGCTTTAAATGGTCAAACTCCTTACGAGAGCTTCACATTCCGGAAACCTCACATCGAACATTTGAGTGTTTTTGGATGTGTTGCTTATGCAAAGATCAATGGGCCTCATATCAAAAAGCTTGATGATAGATCAAAGAAAGTGATCAATCTTGGAACAGAACCGGGTTCCAAAGCTTATAGACTCTATGATCCGGTTACAAAGAAGGTAATCGTTAGTAGAGATGTGGTCTTTGACGAGAAGAAAGCTTGGGACTGGTCATCTATCACAAAGGAATCCGATGGAGAACCGGGTATGTTTAAGCTTCCTCAAGATGGTGTTATAGAAGATGGAGAAGATCATGAGGGTGATCACGAAAATGTCCAACAAGAACCAGACCAAGAAGCTATAAACCAAGACAACCAAGATGAGGAGGAGGAAAAAGAAAACATACAAAATGAAGAAAATAATGACGTGAATCAACAAGCTGGGAATCAACCTTTGGTGACAAGATCAGGTCGTGTGATAATTAAGCCAAATTATCTTAACGATTATGTTTTACTTGCAGAACAAGAAAGTGGAAGATTGTTTCTTACCATAGACGGTGAACCCGAGAACTTTCTTGAAGCTGAAAACATTAAAGAGTGGGTTGATGCAATGAAGGCTGAGATTGATTCTATTGAAAAGAACAAGACGTGGGAGCTTGTCAACAAACCAGAAGGTGTGAAACCTATAGGAGTAAGATGGGTTTACAAGGTTAAAAGGAAAGCGGACGGATCGGTGAGCAAGTATAAGGCGAGACTTGTGGCAAAAGGCTATGTACAGCAACAAGG